CATCGATACAAACGCTCTGGTACCACATTCCAGGATATCGCTGCAAAAATTTTCAACTTTTTTTTGAATTTTCACGAGAAGCGAATCAGTAATATTTGTGGCAAATTACGTACCAAACTTAAAGGCCCGCCCACAAACATTGGCAAACTGCCAAACCACAGAAAACTCCGCCCACAAGCATTGGCGAGTTGCCAAACATTCCATAATTCTGCTGGGGCAATAAAAAAATAGCTAAAAAATTCTCCTACCGATCTTGAACGGCCATTTTGATGGTCCTAGTTCGCAATTCTTCAGCTTTCAACGCATTCGACGTTTTGATTTTAATGTTTTCCATACGCAAACTCTCATATTTGGATATGAATTCAACGTAACCGCTCTCTTCAGTGGTTAACAGCAGCAAATTTTTGCCCGGACGTCCGCTACGCGCACACCGTCCTGCACGATGCACGAACCAACTGAAATTGGCGGCTGGTCTCGAACGGAAATATACAGTAGCCGTGAAGCAGCGTATGCGCGCAGATGCGTGCGACAATGGGCGGGGCTTACGGCCGAATCGGTGTGTCTGAGAATGCCACAACATAGCCGCCTAGGGTAGCCCCGCCCCCGTCGCATGGAACATTTATAATAATAACAATAGTAAATAGAATAAATAATAATAAATATACATAATAAATATAATAATAATAAATATTAACGAGGATTCTCGGGGAATGTCGAATTGGATAACACAATCAATATCCTCGATATCAATACCGCGCGACATTAGATCCGTGCACAGCATCACTGATTTTGGTGTTTTCTTGAATAATTCTATCTGAAATATTGTATTATTTTAGTTATTTTTTGTTTGGCAATTTGCCAATACCCCTGGCAAATTGCCAAACAAAAATTAACATAAAATTTATGCAATAAATTATTATTATTATTTATTATTCCTATTTTTTATTGTCATTAATATTCAATATTATTATTTATTTTTGTGCATTGATATTATGTAAAATAATAAAAATGCCGACTTCTTGTTCACGATTTTTCTTCTTTTTTCCATGAATTCCGAAAATTTTTCGCTTTTTCAAGAAACGTTCCATTAATTTTTTGAAATATTCCACACAGAAACGCGTTGAGACAAATATTAGCATTTTGCTATTTGGCTCGTTTCGGATATATTCCA